GGAAATTCTAGGGAGCGTATCTACACTAAGCTCACCACAAGTCAGAAGCAACTCCATGGCCGTGGATTTATTCTCTCGGTTGTGGATTAGATGACAAGATGTCTGGGGTTGTTGGTGGAAAGAGAAGTGGAGGGGATTATGGGATGAATTGCAAGTAGTCACACGTTGAGGAATGTCGTAGCTGGGAGAGAGATACGCAGTGTTAGCTTGCTTTGCGCTTTCATGTATATTTTCTCTAATTTTTCTTTTGAATTGATAAAATCTATTTCCTTAGGCAATGCCTCCCAATGATTTCCCAGCACACATGATGCATGAAGTTAGTCGTTCATAAAAATATTTGGAACTCCTCAACAGTGTACAAAACAATTTAAGTTTATTCCCTTTTGCTTCGTCGGAACCACTTGACAAGGCAGGTGCTGCTGGGAATCTCCACTGCACACAGGAGAAGACAAAACTCGGAGGAGCCAAACCCAATGAAGGTGGTAAGCAGCAGACCCAGATCTAGAACTCAAGTCTTGGAACGCCAAAGTTGCGCTCCTCCGCCTCCCACTCGCCCATCAAGGCGTTTTTTTAAAGGAAAGTAGAAGTGGGGTGCAGAAAAGTGCCCCCACCCAGCAATGCTTCTTCAGAGACTTCTGCTAAGATTCCACAGTGGGAGGAAGCATCTGGCAAGAGAGAGCCCTACTCTCCGTGACCACCAGATGGCGAAGGGCGCCCGCGGCCAGGAGGAGAGGCGCCGCGCCTCAGCTGGCGCCCAAACCCGGAGAGAACGGGGGAGCAAGGGCGAGGCACACGGTTCTCCTCCCCGTCACCGGGCGGCAAAGTCGGGCGCAGAGTTAGAAGAGGGAGCTTGCAAGCCCTGCTGCCTCACAAGGAAATGTAGGAGGGGTCTGGAGAGCTTTACCGAAGCTGATAGAGAACGGGGGTCCCCAGGGACAACGTGTTTGCCTGCTAACGGAAACTGAGGTGAGAGTTGGAACCCAAAGGTGTCTGCTGGGGGAAAGTCGCCGCAGTCCACTCCCAGAAAGACGGACGGGCAGCTTTGGAAACCCCATTGTGCAGTTCTTCTACTTGGTCCAGTGGGGTCGCTCTAAATCGGCATGGACTGAATGGCATAGTTGGTTGGTGTTGTTGAACGAGGTGAGGGAAAAATCAGCGGGGCTGGGGGGAGGGGGGCTTTTATTCCGAAAATAAACAGGAATCAGGGATCCAGGCAGACCTGGGGGCACTTTTGAGAGGTCACTAGCTGAGGACCTGCTACACGACTGGAGCGTCTACATCCTCCCCCCTACCCCACCCCGCGCGAGCTTGGGTGCGTCCTGGTCCCCGGAGAAAGCGAGCGATGGATAGATGGCTGGAATTTTACTTTTCTACCAGAGGCCATGTCCAGCGGGGTCCCAGTCATCTTAACAAACAAGCAGTCCATGACGTCTGGCTGCCCACAAAGCCCCCCGCCCCCCACATCTCCAGGAAACCCAGCGCCTGCAGGGCGTGTGCGTGTGCACCGGGCCAGGCTTCGGGGAGCGCAGGGGAGCCCACCCTGCACTAAAGCAGGTGCGGCTGCAGGGACCCCTCCCTGGGCTTCTCAAACCAATGACAAAAACCTCACGGCTTTTCTGACTCATGGCGACCCTACAGGAGCGAGTGGAACTAACTGTCCTGTGGGTTTCGGAGACTGTAACCCTGTATGCGAGCAGAAAGCCTCGGCGTTCTCAAACCGGCTGGTATTTCCAACAATTTTCCTCTGGCGAGCAGCCCAACCCTTAGCTCCCATGCCACCTGGGATCCTGAGCCAATAGTAGAAAACGTCAATTTAAGGGCTGGGGGCTGGGGAATAGGTGTTTCATAGACGAAGGCCCAGTGGGACTCGCCAACAACCCCCCCACCAACACACACCAATTGCCTTTTAAAAAGAGCCCCCCAGGTGATGCCCAAATCTCCCGGGGTGAGTGCCAAACTTGGAGTTGGCGGCAAGATGGCAAGAGACACACCGATCAGACAAGTAGACACCTAACCCTCAACGCCCTGCTGTGGAGCCCATTCTGGCTGACGGCGAGTCTAAGGGACAGGGTGCCACTGCCTTTGTGGGTTTCCAGAACGGGACATCTTTACGGCCCTCGAAAGCCTCATCTTTCGCCCGCGGAGCGGCTGGTGGTTTTGAACTAAGGACTTGGCGGTTAACAGTTCACTTCACCTACTCCGCCACCAGGACGCCTTTGACAAGAAGAAAAGGTGTATTTACAATGTTTGTTCCAATGGGAACTGGAATCTAAGACGTGTGTGTGTTTATTCCAGATAATTTCCACGACACCCTGTAGAGATTAACTTTTTGTTTTCATCTCCCCTTCCCACCCACCCCCCAACTCGCCCCCTTCAGCTCCCTACCCGGCGGCGACTAGGAGAGGGAGAATGCCGTACTGCTGCCTTTATCTTGGTTACAAACGAATCACAGGCCGCCGAGAAATGGAGGAAGACTGGGGCCAAAGGCAGATCTGGAGACTCCCAGCTCGCCATCGCGGGACTGGAAGGTGAGTGACTTTTTAAAGAGATGTGGGCTTTGTTAAACAGACTTCAAACCCCGGGCTGAAAGTACAGCCCTAAGTCTGCACGCAGACTCCCTTCCACCCAGAGACTTTTTTTTCAGTTTTCCTTCCAGACCTGAGGGGGAGGGCCCATTCCCCACCCCCATCCCAAGGACAGCTACTGGGCGACTTAACAATTGTGGGCTGCCTTACATGTTTGCGGGAGTCCTGGGACCATAGAGGGCGAATATGTGCCGGTTCCTGGGCGCGACGGGGAGCAAGGATGGCCCTATCCCAAGTCCTCCCGAAAGCAGATAACTTTCCAGGGGCCAAGTGTGGGGGCCGCCCCACCCCTACTTTTAAATAAGTGGAACAGGCCACTCAAACTGCTTGGCAAGGATTAAGATTCGTAAAGGACACGTTTGGAAAATGGCAAATAACCACATTTCCAACTCAGAAGAAGGTTCTCTTTACACGTGGTTTCCCTCGTTGGTCGTGGTCTGTTTTATCGGGTGTGTTTTTTCCACAGGCTACAAGGGCGAAGGGAACCCCGGCGAGGCAGCAGACCCCCAGCCCAAATCACCGCCCCGCGCAAGGAAAGGCTGCCGTTTGCACCGGGAGCAAACCGGGGGACCCTGGCCGAGAATGTAAACAAACACGGCGCTGCGCCCTTGATCTTTATTTAAATAGAGGCTTGTTTATCGGTGTCATCCTCGGGGGATTAATTAGATACATCTCTTCACAATTTGGTGTCTGACACTCCATCTTAGGAATGCCTTATCACAAGGTGTTAATTGAGGCCACTCAGCCACTTACGTTTCTATTAAACACTGTGAGGGACTTATCACAAGTACCAGGTTGTCTTTACTGTACGGTGCAAAAATAGACAGCACTGGAAATAGCCTGGGACCCGGGTGTTGGTCCGGCGGCGGAGAGCGGGCTCAGCCCTTCCCAAGGGCAGAATCGGGAAGCACCGTTTCCAGATGCCGTCGCACTTCCCAAGTCGCTAGGGGCAGGGGAGCAGGGGGTGCTCGGCCCAGGATGGGGGCACGTCTAGTACTCTCCCCCCGTTTGAACCTGTCCTCCACAGATAAATCCACACACAAAACCCACTGCTCAAAAGCTGCCCTCTCCAGCTCCCGGGTAAAAACCCGCCTAAGAGTTCGGAGCCGGCCCTGAGGGAGGGGCGCGAAGGGAAGTCCAGCCCCAAGGTCACGGGCAGCGAGGCAAAGAAGGCGGGTGCGGGGAGGACGACGGGGATGGGACCCTGGGGAGAAGCCAGGTACTAGCAGGTCCCGGAAGGAGGGCGGGGATGGGACCCTGCGGAGAGGCCCGCGGCCGCTGTCAGGCGCGGAGGGGGAGGCGGTCTGGGCGGCTGGCTAATCCGGTTAGCGGCGGCCCGGCCCCCGGGAGCAGACCTTTACCCTGGGCGGACCCGAGGGGGCTGGGCCGGTGGGCCCGCCGCGCTAGAGACAGTCTGCTGATAAACCCGGGCGGGCTGTCTGGTGGGGGAGAGGTCGCGGCCGCGAGGGTCCCTCGGCCACCCTCCTCGGTTGAACTTGGGTGGGCTACCAGCGCTGCCAAGATTTCGGGCAGCCTTGGCCCTACTGGGAAAAAAGAGCCCAATAAACGGAGCGAGGATGCCAGGGCACAGCTCCGGGTCGCAGTTGGCCGGGCGGTGACGCGCCGGAAGACGGGGAATCCTCTTTTCTGAAAGCAGCGCCTCCCCACCCCCACCTCTGGGCCCCAGCCTCCCCGAGCTGCATGGAAGGGCTCCCGGGCTGCAGCTGCCGCGCGGAGGCCGGGGCCCGCGGGTGCCGAGGGAAGCCGCAGGTGGGAGCCGAAGCCGAGCAGCGGTGGGCGGGCGTCCGCCGCGCCTCGGGTGCCGGGACCTCGCGGCACAAGCTCAGAAGCCGCAGCAGCTCCCCAGGAGCCCGAGTTGGCCCCAGAATGGGTGGCCTGGAGAGAACGTTGGACCCAGAGCCCACTATCTACCCTACGTGGCCAAGGGTCAAGGCTGGGGAGGGGGCGATCTCGCATCCTGGCGACAATCTCCACCCCTGGCCCTCATGGTCCAGACTTCCCACCGGGGTGAGGAAATAGCCCTATTCATTCTTCAGGGTAAAAATAATAAACAAAAGCATCCGTCTTCCTGCCCCCTCTAGACTACAGCGCAAAGGAGCAGTGGTTCTCAACCTTCCTAAAGCCGCGACCCTTTCATACAGTTAGTTCCTCATGTGGTGGTGACCCCCCCAACCATAAAATTATTTCCGTTGCTACTTCATCACTGCAATTTTGCTACTGTTACTAATCGGGCCACCCCTGTGAAAGGGTCGTTCGACCTCCAAAGGGGTCGCGACCCACAGGTTGAGAACTGATGCTCTACCGTGTGGTCTGGGGGACAGGTAGCTGGAGAAGGCTATAGCAAAAGAGGCAAAAAATGAAAACCCATAGAACAGAAAACAGCTGTGCTCGTTCCCGCGTTGAACCACATTTATTAAAAATGACTAAAGACTGTACATAAAAATCCAAGATCACTAAAAAGCCTATAGGAGCTGTGGCATCGGGTTTTCATTTCTTCACATTGCCAAGATGGCGAGGAATAGGAAGAGGCCAAGAAAAGAGGAAGTAGGGGTTCTCTTCAACACATTTCAAGTTAGTACAGGGTCGCTGAATACATTCTTAACTACCTAAGAAGTAAACAGAACATTCCCAGGTATGGGGATGATGAGAGAAATGATCTTCCTGCCCCGCCGCAGCTGTTGTTAGTGGATTGCAAATTCTTTACAAAGCCAAAGCACCAATGTTACATAATCTTGGATACCTACGCAGACTATTTGTACAATATATTCCACATTATTCTACAGTGTATCTAAACACACACAACTGTACAAGTTTACATTCTCTCTTTTTGGCTAGTCCCTTCTTTACCCTCTCCTGAGTGCTCTGGGCCACCTCAGCACACAGCAGAGGCCTCCCTTCTCTCAAGGAGACAATTCCAAACTAGGCAAACATGGCTTGTTCTAGAAGCCTGGGAGGAATCAAAGTCAGGTACAACCAGCACTTCATGAATGTTTTTGCTGTTTTTTTCTTCTTCCCTCCCAGGCCTAATATCTTTTGTCCCTAGCAGAAGGTAACAGCAAAAAAGCCCCCTGTTAAAATGTAAGGTCCAGCCCTCCTCTTCCAAAAGTGAATCTCCTTAGCATTCTGGGCTTCTCTTGACTTAAAGGTTTGCAAATAGAAATGAGAAGGGAAGTTTCCAACTCATTTGATAGTGCTCGCCCCTGATCTTCATAGCCCAATTCACTGTTTGGTGTTTCCAATCAATAAACCCCAAACCTCAGATAACCTTCAAAATTTTAAAGCCCTACATTAACTTCATTTTTTAAAAGAGGGGAAAATATGCTAGGTTTGTTTCAGTTACCTGCAGCAATCAAAAAGCTTTGGCACCTTCTTTAGAGAATTGCACAAAACGGGGATGCATCAAGGTGGGAGGCAAAACGTCTTTTTTGGCAACCTAGACAAAGAAGACAACAACAACAACAACAACAAAAAACCACACACCAAGTCCATCTGCAAAAAGTTAGCTGACTTTAACGAGGTTAAAATAATTCTTTAGGGAGTTGTGTAAAAAGCGTAATATCCCCCCATGCCTTTGGAAGTGTCTTTACTGTATTCTTCGGCATTAAGGTCCTCACACTTTATGGAGGGGGAATTTTCATTACTGGAGGTGCTAGGAGACAGCCGCCTTCGCTTACAAGCACTGGTGTATACCCCGGAATCATTAGAATCTAGGGACTTGATGGAAGGAGGCGTCTCTATCCAAGAAGAGCTTATTTCTTCTTTGACTTTATCCTTAGAGAGTGGATCTTCAGGGAAAACAGGGGGGCTGGTTCTGGAGGTCCATGGTAGTCCAGCCGCCATCTTCCTCTGATAAGAACCTCGACCTCCCCACCCTGCCATAGCAGGGAAAGTGGGGTCCGGGTAATACCCCAGGGCATGGGATGTCTGGAGGGGCAAGGATTTAATACCATATGGGAGCAAGGTGCTAGAGGTATATTCGGACTCATAGGAACTGATGTCTAGTTTGTTGGTCCCAGGTTGCTGCACAGGCGTGACAAGCCACCGCTGGGGAGGGTTGGCCACCTCTTCGCTCTGTTGGGGTGAAAGGAGGCCATTGGTCTGTGGCACGGTTCTCTCGCCATTATAATATCGGGCTTGAGGTAAAGTGTTGACAAAGGGCTCCGGGAAGAAGGACTGAACGCCGTACCGACCTCCGGGGACAATCTGATGGGATCTAGGAGAATCCGTGGGAGATGGAGTTAACCTGTCATTTTCTGAAGCGGTGTACATGCTACAATACAAAGAGAAACACTTAAAAAAAATCCCAATGTCCAGCCCAAATAAACCACCTCCCGGAAGTGAAAAAGGCTGTCAACTGTCTGTCCCGAGGGCCCAGGCCTGTTGGAGTGGAGGCACACAGGCAGGAGAAGCATGGACCCACGTTTAGTCCGACTCACTCTGCACTACATAAAGATTCCTCTAAGGCATGACATCTGTAACACCGGAGAGATCTCCTTCGCAAGTCCTAGAACTTGAAGGAAGAACTCTAAGCCACTCTCCTTGCCCATAGGACAGGCGGACTGTTGGCTCCTGGCGTTCCCAAACCCAAACTAACAAGACTTCTGCAGGGTCTCTCTTTTGGTGTGGTGAAGATGACATTCCCTTAGGTTTACATTTTTGTTATGTTAAAGCAAGGTGTGTGGGGGTGGGGTGGGGTGGGAGGTTAGTCATACCTGTTCTAGTGAGGATAAAAAAAATTGGATCACAATGAGAAGAAAAAGTATATCAATGCTGATTCTTAAAATTCTAAATCTCCACCGAAATGTTTTGGAAAACACTGCTCATTTGTAAACCCTTAACCTTTCTTTGGAAAGGAAGAAAACCCCTTCTGGGGGAAAGCCCCAAACAGGATTTGGCAAAGGGAAAAGAAAAATAAGGACGAGGAAGGGGGGGAGGGGGGGCAAACGAAAAAACCCCAAACAGCAACCACCCCTGGTGAAAGCTCTTCCTTGGCCTCAAAGTGTCTGACTAGATGCATAATGCTCAAACATGACAGGGCAAGGAAGAGGGGGGAAGCTGCACTTACGAATCATAGTTGTCCCTGAAGCCTTTGGCAAAGGGATTATGGTCAATTTTTAGTTGCGTAATCTAGATGAGGAAGAAAAACAGTTGTTGAGCACTTCGTTACTCGGGAACTAGCGTTCGGCATTCTGGGGAGAGTTGGGGCACTCACGTCGGTGTTTTGGTAGGCAGTCACAGCGATGAACTGCGTTTCCGGGAAGGTAAAGGTCTGGGTCTTTGAGGGCTCGTTTAAATCCTCCACACCATCCTCTGAGACTTCCACAATGTGCAGTCGTGGTTGGTATTTGTGCAAAGACTGTAACACGATCATCTGCCAATGGTACAGAAAGAGAGTTGCCCAACCTTAAAAGCCCTCTTAGGCATCCAACAGTAGTATTCTCGGTGAAGCTTATATTTTGAAATTGGACCTGTGCACCGCAACCCCACCAATCTCTCTCTCTCTCACTAATGTTTAATCGACACATCAGAGACCTTATCGACATTTTTGAAACTTAAAACAGCTGTTTATTATGTCTGAGGAAGCTCTTCTCTTCTCTTTCGGTTGCTTAAGTCCCTCAAAAATCGTTCAGTGTTTCTGTTCCTAGCGGTTGACTCTATTAAGGAAATTCAGTTAAAGAAGAAAGAAAAAATGAGAACGTGCAAAGAAAGGTTACAAAAAGAAACAGGTGAGCAAATCGGGCAGACACACACCCAGTATAAATTCAGTGAAGAGAGCAGGGATTCTTATAAGAAAAGAGAGGTATGCCCAAAAGACAGCCCCTTCCGCTGTCACTCTACCTGAGTATTGTTGTTATTTGCGCCTTTGTTATTGGTGAGTTTTAATTTCCCAAAAGAAATCTCCTGTCTCATCCAGTGCGAGCCAGTATTCGGAGACTCTGGGTGAACATACATTTTGTTGCCTAGAGAAAAGGAAATGAACATTTACCACCCAAGTTTGGTCAGCCTCGTTACTGAAGAAGTTCCAGGGGACTCCACTGTGGACTCCAGCAGGATGCCTTCTGTACTCTTCCTAGGGGAACTGTTTCCATGGGCAAGGCACATCTTTAACAGTGCCTCCAAATTTTTAAAACACAACTAGTGGGAGATGTCCCTTGAAGTTCAGTCTGGGGCCTTTGAAAGGAAAGGGGGCCTGTTGACATAGTGGTTAAAGCACTACGTGATAACCCAAGGAGGGGGTCACCTGTTTCCCTAAAGACTGACATGCTTGGAAACCATATGGGTCAGTTCCACTCTGTCCTAAAGGGCTACTATGAGTCATAATCTATTATATTGCTATGTTTTATTTTGTTGTTTTTTTTTATTGTTTGTTTGTTTTGTTTTAACCCTGGAAAAGGCAACACCCGTTGAAAGCGATTTGCACGTTCTTGGGTGAACTCAAATTTAGGGAGAGCTTTTTTTCTTCCTGAATGCTGGGAGACCTAGCCACCCCTAGATCTTCAGGCCGATTCCTTTCTCAAAAGTGGAGAGCTAGGGTTTGGGGGTGAAAGGTTCTCTATGTTGACAGACAAGAACTCTGACTTTGCAATTATCTTTCTCCCAAAAAGTCAACATACAGACATCTCGGTCCCAGATTGGTGGGGGTAAAGAGCTAGATTTCGATGTGAATTGCCTGAGTCAGAGGTTCCCATTTCTCCCTGCCCCCTTTCCCCTTCCCCCTCCGGGCTCTTAGCTCCTCACCCTGCATGTTATTGTCGGCTTTGCCACAGGTCACCCACTTGCCCCCCTGGAAGCGCCAGTGGTTGGGGTCCGCCAGCACCACCTCTACGAACACGTTGTAATGGGCGGTCGGATTGAGTCCGTTTATATTGAAGCTCAAGAAAGGAAACATGCGCCTGTGCGAGGAACAGAACCAGGATAAGCGATTTCAATCGGCACCACCCGAGGGCCGCCCAGACGCTGCCCTTTGCCCAGGACAACCCGGAGTCGAAGGGAGCGCTATGTTGAAAAGTTGACAGAGCGCCCTTAAAGTGGATCAACACGATGTAAACCACTTTTGACTTGTCAACTCTAGAAACACCTTGGTCTTCTTACTAACTTGCCCCGAGGTCAGCATTCTCCCCAGTCGTGTGCTTTTGAGAAAGCCCCCACTCAAGTTCTCGGACCTTCTCAGAACCCTTCAAGTTCTATCAGACACAGAAAGTCACTCTCTCGGCCCTCCACTCCCCCACCGCCCTTCCTCACGCGTAACCCCCCTCCTTAGCAGTCGGATGTGTATCAAGTCTTTCTGCAACCCAGAACCAGAGCTAGATCTGATTCCAATATACATCTGCCTAACCAGCTACCCAGACTAACCCTCCGAGGCCAACGCTTTAGCTCACACGCCCATCTTCCGGAGGCTCCCCGTGGAGACCCTGGCGCCTAAAACCACGGGATCCCATCGATTGCACTCTGGGGGGCAAACCCTTGAGCCTGCCCCGTCCCCCCACCCCCGCCCTTGCCATCCGCAGCTCCTGGCCGGCACACAGGGCGCAGCGCCTGCCAAGGTGGCAGATCTGTGAATCCAGCTTGTGGGAATGCTCAACTTTCCATTTCCCCCTCTTGCCCTGCCCGTCAGTCTAGGCGAGGCTGATGGGCACTAGGAGTGGCGTGAAGCGAGGGAGCAACGGTTAACACTAGCCTCCTCGCCAGGTCCATGCCGGCACCGGGAACGCAACCTGATTGGAGCCACAGCGTCTCCACTCTTGAGCGCGCTGTGGGGAAAGACCTCCAAGCCCAGCGCGGAACTCGGGGGCGCGCTCCCCGCCGCCC